CTGCCAGTGCTGATACGTTCAGCAACGCCCAAGCACTGGCTGAGTTGGGTATCCCAGAAGGTCCGTGAATTAGCCCCGAACAATGGATACGAACAACTGACGGAGAAGCCAGATATACAATTCTACGAGTAGAAGAAGGGAGCAAAAGTTGTCTCTTTAACTTGAAGACGCGACGGCGCACCGCGTCCAACAGGCTGGCCTGATGCAGTCGGTGGAAGGGGAACGGGCCGGAGAGACGAGGCTCAATAGGGAATGTTAGGGGGACAGCCGAAACCCAGACAGATGAGGCTCAACGAGGACTCTTGATTGAGCGGTAGCCTGGTTTGCCGTAAGGGGATAACACAGACCCGTACCGATGAGGCTCAAATTGCTCACCCGCATCATGCATATCCCATTCAACCAACCAGAATGTAGGGTTTCGGGGCCTCGGACGGGCAGAACTTTCATCGTCAGATAAAAAGGGAACCTCATTCCGCACGTCTTTTTCCCTGAATGGTCTTGGCCGATGTGAATTGTTTCCTCTTGATCCAATTCTCTCTTTCTCCTCTCGCCCTCTACATGTATTAATATCTTGTATGCCTTTGACCGAGGGACAACATTTCTTACTATTCACCCACAGTTCGACTACCTGCGCCTTTCACCCACCCTTACTATACTCGATTTCTATCTCATTTCCCATCACTTGCGTTTTGTTATCTCGTCCTGCGACGCAACGGGCCGACCTTTCGCCGACTCTCCGGACAAAAACCCGAAACGTTCAAATTGGCATCCATCGCCAGCGCGCTCAAACACCACAACATAACTCAACCACGCGATGTGGATCGACGCCGATGACAACGAAACGAGGCGAGAAAGACCGCGGCGACTGAAGTGAGGCAAACAAAAACTTGCACACGTTACGCTGCCTTGTTGTCAGCCTCACTTTCCATGCATGACTTGGACGCCTTGGGCGCCTTGGACGCCTTTTCCCAACGCACCGCATTTCAACTTGGTAATCGCGGGCCACGACTTCAATATCTCCGCCGACTTTTGAGACATTGAAGCAAATCCGGCCGCCGTTGATGTTTTACTGGCCTGGGGAGCACACATCCTGTCCCGCCTCGCACCATTGCGCGGTTAGGGACTCAGCTCTTGGATCTAACAGAATCGGCGACTCGGCCTATTGCGGGTATCCTCTACCTTTCGAAACTGAAGCAGTAACCCGGTGAGCCCCAGAAGGTGGAATCCAGCCGGAATTTGAGTTGAGACTGGCTCATTGGCCCAATGAGATCTGCGTGGTGGTTACTGTTAATCGCGAGATATCCGCTCAATATGGAATAATATCGACGGGCTAGAGGTTGAAGACTTTGCAGAGAGGTACTCTGGGCCTGTGACTTGAATATCGTGGATTGGGCAAGCACGAATGTCGAGTTTGGTTTGTTGTCACGACGCGCCACCTGGAACCGGCTGCCTATTGTCATCACTCTGAGCAAATCAAAGAGGGGCCGCAGCTAGGAGATGATCTTACTCGCCCGAGTTCATGCAGTCGGAGAAGGAGGCGGACGTGAATGTGGTTTCCGATACCTACATGCACGAGATGCACGCATGCACGAATTGTACCGAGAGAGTACCACACTAGCGATACAACCCACGACAGCTACCGAATGACGACCGTTTGGCAAGGCATTTGGCTAGTCGTATACCTTCGAATCTGGATGAGACCTTTACCGGCATGACTATGTCATGTATTCCTGAGATGGTTTGAGGAAAGGACGCCTTGCATGGATGGAAGACTGTAGGATGACCGTCGTTGGCAAACGCGAGCCAGGAGGGATTTAAATCGATCTTGACGTTCCAATTCTCAGCAGTGCGACACACCGCAGCCGTTCTCGCTGTTGCAACTGTATTCTCTCGCTGAGAGTGAAGGTGGTTCGAAACTCGTCGACTCTATCCAGGTTCCCCCGGCGAGCACTTGGCGATTTCCTACTGATTTGGGGTGCTGTTACTGCGACATTAGAGAATATCGTTAATTGTCAGGCTGGACGTTGAAATGCCTTCAGAAAAGGCTGTGTGCAACGGGTAATTCGTCCTTACTGACTTGACTCTCATACTTATCACTCACGCTTGACGCCTCAGATCGGCTCCTCGCAAGCCCGACCACAAGTATACGCACCATGGAGCGACATCAGGTGGACAGAATCTTGGAAACGACCGCCTGGCGCATTTCCTCGAGCATGGCGCCTCGGAGCCTCAGGACATGCCGGCTCGTCACGCGCAAATCTTGGCTTGTATAAGCTCTGTTGATGCCAAGTTCAACCACAATTGAAGAGAGAAAGGGAACTCAAGCGGCGACCCAACTCGGAATCAGGTTCACGGCGTTCAGGAAGTAGGCAGTGCCCGATAAGTCGGAATGGATGTGGTTAAAAAAGGGACAGAACGCTGGGCGACGCGGAAAACTGTCACTATCTGAAGGAACAGTTAAAAGGATGCTTCATATTCAAGGATGACGTACTAAAAGTCTGTCAAGGCACCGGAATCAAGGTCTGAGGATGTAAATTTAGCTCTAGAGTTAAAAAGTTGGAACATTACTCATTACACATCCAACCGAAATACTTCAACATCAAGTGAAGAGCCATTGCCATTAGTATGGAAAACATACAGGGAGAGCATCAAAGGCGCGGGTCGGAGCAACAATTAAGCAAAGCTGCGCGGAACGAATCGAAAGAACTCAACGAGCAAGTTGCCCTAGAGATAGGCAAAGCGGAGAGAGCTAGAGCCTGTAATTTTATCCCTTTAGGGGCGGCTTGGTGCATGTGGCATTGATAAACTTGACGCGATGTCTTAGACGTCGTGTCACCAACTTGTCTAGCATTTCTTCTTCTTTACCCTTCTCCTGCTGCGGTGAAACTCTCAAACACGCACGTCGACCATGTCTCTTTACGACCGGCTCTTGGTAAAACGGCCCAGAGTGCGTGCTTCTTACTCAGTTGGCATTCAGTTACCTGCTAATATCCGCTCTAATCTAACCGCCTTGGTTTATAGTAGTGCGTGTTATTCTCAGACCCAGACGACAAGTCAAACATGCATCTTTTCCGAGCCAACGTATCGCGTTCCCACCTCAACCAGCTTATTTTCCCAAAAAAGCCTTCGGGGTACTTTTCCCCGTTCGAGCCATTGTCAATAAATCATATGTTCATCCCACATGAACAAAAGGAAACGTTCCGAAGCCGTCTTCTTCGTGTAGTAACTGGTGAAATTGACCAACTCCGACTCACAGCCAGCAAAGATGGTCGACAACCGCAGCCGCCAACGTTGCGACTTCACCAGTGAATACTTCGTCGCTGAAACTCTCCCAAGCCAACATTCTCGTCATTATGTCAAGCAGGAGAGTTTTATCTCCACATAGACGACAACAGTACTGGATCCACCATAGGCTGTCCGCTGAAGCAGTTTGGTGACGGCGATGATTGGAAGAGACTGCCGCCAAGAAGGACGTCTCGGTTATTAGCTAGAAACCTCAGAGTCCCAACCGAAATAGAAGCCGAGATGAGTGAACCACCAGTGAGAAATCCGAGAAGCTTAGAAAATCCATCAGCCTTCCACTTGGCCGAGCCGTACATTGAGCACAACTTGGCTCACAACCAAGGTAAACTAACTAACCCATGGGTTATATTAGAGACGTTTGTAATAGAAAGGCACTGCTACGAAATACGCTATGGCATATACTCGTCATGCCTATGTAAAATACCATACTAGCAAGAACGTTTAGTGCATTGTTATATCTTTGAGAGGAGATGTATACTAATTCTTCTATAGATGGGATAGCGATACGCGATTGCATTATTCCTAGGTCTTGACACTGCACCACGCTTCACTGCACCACACTTCACAAGCAGTTGGACAAGGGCCTTGTGTCCTTCCTTGGTAGCTGGGGATAGCGGTCCTGAGATTTTGCAAATGGCACCATGCTCAAGTATCAGTTAGACAATGGCCTCGTTCATCCAAAAGCAGAGTGTAGTAGCGGCTTCCGACCAGCGGAATTCTAGGCTTCCATAAGTAATATCCGGACACTGTACTACCCTCGTGCCGCTTCCGACAGCCCATACCAGCGGTGTCTAACCAACAGACCTCTGGGCCACAATATGGTATGCAATCCTCCTGCATCTCTGGGATGTCTCTGGTCAAACCTAGTATATCCTTCTTGTACCTCTGATCTCCAGTGGCCTGGTCCAGACATGGGAGCGCATTGCAGATGCGCTAGAGGTCCAAATCGTTTGGCCTCGATATCACCAGTTGTAGCTTGAATGGCAACTGATCCACAGAGTCAGCCCCGGTGAACATTCATAGCCAGCTTGAATGCGCCGTCCCATTACTGTCTTTGCCCTTGCCATTGTCGGCTTGGCGATGAATCCACGAATATTGAAGCATTTTGACCGCAGATTTTCTCAGCTATCGTAGTAGCTACGCACTAGCTAGCGGCCTGCCTATTATTTCATACAAAAAAATTATAATGCCTTTCCCTGCAATGAATATTCTCGATCACATTATGCAACAGACGTCTAAATAAGGGTACATGCGGGTGATGCTCGAGACCCTCAGCAGGCGGGTGAAAATTCCTGTCATTAGATTGAAACTCCCTTCATGATGCTGTAGTGCCAATGGTTTTCCGAAAAATAAAATCGAATCAAATGAAAAAGAATGAAAAAAAAAAAATACAGGAACAGAAACGATAGCTTTTACTCTGCTGTACGCCGCAACACCCCAAACCATATTGTCCTCCATGTCTCAGAGCGGGATATCTCACCACACGGGGTCGTCTTCTTCCACTAGGTTTGTAGACGTCAACGGAATAATAATGATATTACCAAAATCGAAATGGCGTTTAGAGATGCAACGGCTGTGATTGAAGCAGACGTGGATAATGCGCCGCACTTTTACTCTACATGCTTGAACTTGAGTAATAGGTAGTATATCCCCATGGCAATGCTGCCCTGTTCCCGTGCGAAACAATTCCACTTGACTTAAACCCACGGATCTATCTCGAGTTTCTCACCAGAGCATGTAATCTTCCTGAATGGGTGGCCACGGAAGTGCATCTTCACCACGCGACGGAAGCATTTGAAGCACATGCGGAACTCGATGCATTTCGTACACTCGTATACTGGCCCATATATCACCTGTGTAGGACGTGCGGGTCAGTACGATTTCCCCAATCCCCCTCCGGCTTGTGGGCTACTTACACACATGCAGGCATTACACATGACTTCACGTGCCGGGCTTAATGACGCTGTTTCTGGCTTTAGCGGTCGGGTAGCCTCCTCGTCGGCCGCGATGTCGGCCGCAGGCTGCAACGGCGGCTGCTGGCCGTTGGGCCTGAGACGATTTCTCATGTCCTCGTCACTAGTAAGACGGTCGCCGTGGTACAGAGCGACGTCGTAGGGGGGTCCAGCCTCGGAGGCTCCTCGCGTTCCTACAAGTAGAGTCATCTCTATCTAAGAGGAACCGAACGACTTTTCTATTACGGCTGCGACATGCCCAGTGCAGCGGGGTCCAGCCGTCGACGTCGCAGTCTCGCACTGCATCTGGATGTTTCTGAAGTGGAGTGCAAATTGCAAAGGCGTCCCGTGAACGCCGGCGTGCATGTTGAGAGTGGTGTCGTCGTGATCCAGAATTATATTGGCCATGGCCATGTACCTGTCGTCGACGGCCCCAAGGCCCAAGTGGCGGCGTGACGGCATGGCAGCCGCCGCGGCTGAGAAGCAGCTCGACCATTTTCGGACCCTCCTCGTTGCCTCTCTCAGCAGCAATCTGAAGCGGAGTCCCGTATTCCTCCTTGACAAGGTCCACGTCTATCTTGTCAGACTCGCACAGCAGCTTTGCGAGCCCCAGCCAACCCCAGAGAGCGGCGTAATGAAGCATCGAACCGTACTCGCCGAGTTTCTGATTCGGGTCCATGCCGTATTCGAGCAGAATCCGCACCTTTTCCGTGTCCCGGCCCTTCTCCTTCTGCTCATGCAGGAACCCGAACAACGCTTCGGGAGACACGCAGAGCCCTGGCCCCGAGGTGTCGGTGACGTACTTCACAACTGGCCGGAACACGTCCAGTTTGAAAGTGGCCAGCGCCAGCTCGAGGAATGTGGGATACTGGCTGGAAACGCGCGGCGGCACGGTGAAACATGATTTGGCGGCAAGCAAGATGCCCACGCCGTCCTCGCTGCCGGCTGTGGCAGCCAGGTAGAGCGGAGTGTCCCCCTTGTCGTCCTCGATATTTAGGCTGGCCCCGGCCTCGACCAGTATCTCGAGAGATTCTACGGAGCACCGTCTTGCGGCATAGTGAAGGGGAGTGCTCTCGGTCATGTCTCTCACATCAAGCTTGGCACGTCTGCTGACGAGAAGCTGCACCAATCTCGGGTTGGAGCTGTAGGCACCGTGGTGTAATGCCGTGAGGCCTTGTTTGGACTTGGCGTTTATGTCTGCGCCGGCCTCGAGCAGTGTCTTGACCGTGTCGAACTTTTTGTACCTGGCAGCATTCGAGTAGCCAGCATTCAGACTGGCTGAGGACGAGTGAGGCATGAGGACCTTTACCGCCGCAGTCTGGCCGTACTGGCAAGCCACCACCAGCGCATCCGTGTCCCTGAAGCCCCTGTCCACGGCATCTTGGTGACCTGGACATGGCCCGCAAGAGCCGAGAGCGAGAGAAGGGAGAGATCCGCTCGGTACATGTAGTCGCCGCCCATCACATTCCCCGCCTCCAGGAGCTGGCGCAAAACTTGGTCGTGGCCGTACTGTGCCGCATACTGCAGAGCGTCTCGGTTGTGTCCCTCACGCCATATTACATTGGCACCGCGACCGACGAGAAGTCGGACCATGTTCAGATGATTACCTTTGGTCGCAATAATGAGCGCAGTTGAGCCGTCGGATGCGGGAGAATCCACATCAACCTCTCTCTCATGAACCAGAGAAGATGTGGTGTCTCCAAGAAGCATCATGGCGATTTCGAGGTGATTGTTCCCCAAAGCCAGATGCAACGGACTTCTGTCGGTGCTGTCCTTGGCATTCGGCGCTGCCCCCGAGACAAGAAGCGTCTCGACAATGTCCCAACGGCCGTTGCGACAGGCCACATGTAGCGGGCTTTGCTTCTCGTTGTGGCACACAGAGTGATCGGCGCCCGCAGTGAGAAGCTGCCGCACTATGGTGAATCGTCCGCGCTGGCTGGCGAGGAGTAACGGCGTGGCGCCCGTCGAGTCGCCCATGTTGAGCGCCGCCTTGGCTTCTTCAGACTCGTCAAGCTTGGACAGCATTTTGGACACTAGACACGCTTGGCCGGACATGGAAGCAAGGTGGAGAGAAGTTCTCTCTTGATATTGCTCGGAGGTGTGGCTGATGTATTGCTCCTGTTGCTTCCATAATGCCTGCGGTGGAAGCGAACCCCCCAGTGCTGCAATGACGTGTAGGAAAGATCGATGATACTGTCCACAGTCAGATTTGGCCCATAAATCGGGCTTGTTCATCAAGTGCATTATCAGGCCGGAATTTCCAAGCCGTGCTGCGTCCTGAAGAATCTCGTGCACATTCTTCTTGACGAACTCGCTGTGCCTCTCTGCTAGTATGCACAAGGAAAAGTCGGACCCAATCTGGAAAGCTCTCTTCAGGGTACACTCGTCGCCAAAGTCGCCGCATTGATCAAGTTGGTGTAGAGTGCTGGCGCTTCCCATCTGACACGCAGCCAAGGCCGCCGTGGATGAATATTTCCCCTGGTCGGATGCGCATTCAATATCAGATGCATGCAGTGCGAGGCTGACGGCCTCGGCAGGTTCAACATGCAGTCGGTCTCGGATCTGGATGATGCTGAGCTGACTCGTGCGGCTGAACGGCGCGTTCAGAACTTCGAAGTCGCAGGCAGCAATGGACCAGACCGTCGTCACGGACAAATTCATCCTCCAATTTCGTATCTCCAGATGAGTAGTCTTTGAACCGGAGATGCGTGAACCAGTGCTCGACCGCGTAGGACATCAGGGGCACAGGGTCCAATTGCCCGGCCGTCACGTCACCGGGAGCATTATAAGAAAAGCCCTGGGCTTCGCTGGCCCCCCCTACCGACTCGTCTGATGTTTGTCCGGGCTGCCCACTCCGGTAGTGTTGGAGATGTATCTGCGGCAAATGAGGGCAATGTCTGGACAATGAGCAGGCCCGAGGTCGAGAAAATGCGACGAGTCCTTTTTATCACCAGGCATCTGTTGGAGAACATGCTGAGTAAGCAGGGGATTGGCCAGGTAAACGGTGCCGCCTTCAATCTCAACAAGGCCGCACAATAGACTTTCGAATTCTGCGATGGTGATTGTGCCAAACAGGTCACCAACGGCGTCGCCTGCCTCCGTCTCAAGTGCTGTCGCCAATTCGGTACATGTAAGTGGCCGCAGGGCGTGGGTGATCCATTGAATCCCAGTTCTTACCAAGCTCTCCACAGATTCAAGTGCCAGAGTGACAGAGTCAGTATGGCTGTGATAACGTCCTGACTGATTGCCGAAAACCGGTATTTTTTGACTGACTGCGAAAAAAGAAAGGGGTGGTGCTCCAGCACGGCAAACAAGTGCCGCATAGTGCTCAGGTCCGTGGACGTGGCAAGACATTCCATGCCACCCTTTCGAGAAAGAAGCCGAGTCCTCTCTGGGCCTAGAAGATCGAAACATGCGTTGTAGTCCATTTGCAGAGCTTGGAGAACGTCAGGATCGCTAGGATTTATCATCTTTCGAATGATGACGCGGTTAGCATCTTGTTGCAGATGGCAAGCAGTCGAACCACCAGAGGAGGGGGCTCCATCTCTGTTCGTGTTGGGATTTATGCCGGTACTGGCATCGGGGGCCGTGTCTGGACACGAGGCTGCATTCCGCACGACTAGGATCTTGACTGATATTTCTGTTGTTTGGACCAAGCCGGAAAGGTCGGCAATAAATTGTAAAAAGGGCGAGGCGAAATCAGGCTCGGCCGGCTGATGGACGATGAGAAACGGCTGGCCCAGGACCTGTCCGCCAAGGAGCGCCACGAGACATGTCTACAATGTGGCCTCTATCCATGCAACGTTATGGCTGTCGAGAGCGTCTCGGGCATCCTTCAGCAGTGGTTGGATTTCGACACAAAGGCTTGGATGCTCTGTCAGTAGTTGCCGGCAAACACATGCCATAAGCTGTGCTTTTGTCAGCGGCAAAGGGCGCGGCTTGTGATGTGCCAGAGTTAGGAAGATATCCATCGGCCGGCCCCGCTGTTCTCGGAGTGAGGAAATCAGGGAACTTGTAAGGATTATGGTGTCTCAAACACACCCTCCAATCTCTAGCGTTGTCATGGTCTTCGCTACCGCGTGCTGGCTGCGCTTTGGGACTTCTCCTGTCTTTGGATCATTCGATACCTCTGGGGCTTGTAGGCTCTGTTGTCCAGGGCCTTTCGTTATAGCAGCGCTTGTCTCCTTGTTGGCCCCAATGACCTTGCCTGTCCACGAAGCCAGTCCGGCATCTGACTGAATCCAATCACATAGGTATTTATAGACAGGCTTTGAACCATGTCGTACAGGAATGTCTAGGCCAAATCGAGTGAAGAGTCGGAGCCATTCTTGATAGTCTTTGCGTGAGCCTGTACAAAGAAAGACGATCGGCTTCGATCCCCCAAATTTCCGATACGAGTCCCGCAGAGAAATCAAGACTTACAGGCCATCGTGCCTTCAACCCTACTGGCAATGAGATTCTGATGCTTGTGTGCGTAGACATTGAATAGCGTGTTGTCACCTCTTGGAAGGCCAATCTGAATTTCACCGTGTACGTCAAGCGTTGCATTGAGTTTTTTAACCACCTTCGCATAACTGTTAGTCCTTACAGGAAGCTGGCGGGAATTCTGTGACAGCTCACCATTTCATTGTCATCTGACTCTGAGCTTACTTGGTAATGACTGATTGTGCTGATCTTGTATTGCTCAATGAAAGCATTGAATTTGTGGGTCAGGTCCTTATGGAAGCTCGACAACCGACTGAGTACGAGAGGAAACCAGGAGTCAGGGAAACCTTTATGGTGTGTGAGGATGAGATGTGATAACATGGCCTCCCAAGGATAACAGCCTGACTCTCTGTGAGAGGACCCAAAGAATATCTATTATGGTATCAGTAAACTAAAAAAAAAGGATAGGGGTTTCTCCTAGCCCCAGCTGCTAAATTGCTGCAGTGCTAAGAAACGCTTAACCCAAGGCCGTAGGAGATGTACTAACTAAAAGGTTTATATTTTCTAAGACGTTAAGTACTTGGATATGTCTAACGCCGCCATTAGCAAGGTCTAAGAGCGAATCGTCTAATTAGTACATTACTTTAATGTACCTCCAGGACTTAAGGCCCAGACCCCTCTTCAGGTCTATTCATCTCACTTGTTTTAGGATCGTCCCGCTAATATCACAGGCCGTAAAAATGAGTGCCGGTTTAGGAGACTATTCTACGCGTCAGTTCGATTATGCAGGGACCAAATGCCAAAAGAGTCAACCTGGTTTACCGCAATATTTCTCCCCGAATTTATGGCTTCCAAGGCCGCTTTAAGCAGGTCATTTACTGCAGTCCGGATTCCTTTAACAGTAGCCGCCTCTCGACGATAGTGTTAGCCGCCCAAGAGAACTATAATCTTCGTCTAGTAAGACTATCCTCTGCGTACTGCAACGAGGCAGGCTCGCTACTAAGGCCCGCAATGCTAACGATGCTAAGCAAAAGATGTTAGAATTGGTCTTGGTAACAATGTCCAGAGCAACACACATCGGGTCTGGAGGATCATTGGTTTCTTCCTTATAAAGGACACTTTCGGATACGACTATTGACGCAGGGCGTGGGGATTCTGGGTCTAACTCTTAATTAGACAAGAAAATAATATTATCCGAGCAAGAAAAGGCGTCTGTGGCCAATGGACTTGGAGCGGGACCTGGAAACTCCATTCTAGGCTGATATGCTAAATTACAGGCATTTAAGGGCCGGTCGATAGGCAAGAGTCCCTAGGGCGCGTCCGTGGCCCTTCTTTACGGTTGCTAAGCACAAGAATACGCGAAACGATGCTCGACTTAATCTGGCTAGGAATCGCCGCCGCCTTACCTGGACGGTAGGTGTTACGTTCCGTAAATTTAAGGCTGGATAAGCCTAGTAGCTAGACTACTAAAAATAACGTGTAATATATGAAGTTAGAAGGAAAAAAATGAGAAATATAATTCTAAAAATACATGTTATTAATTGAATCCGCTCTTTTCTCTTTATTGGATTTGGCTTTACTTGTTTTAGGTGCACGTGGCATAACGTCGGTGTGCTGGTCGCTTATAGACCGCTTCTAGTGGTACCTAGGCCCGGTGGACACGTACAGCTCGAAGCCAGCCTTAATATTAAGGTTAACACCTGTCTCCTAGTCTACCTTGTGCGTCGTGTCGTGCTGTTATTGCTCCCGAAGCCGTAGACCACTACCAGCATGCGCCCTTTAACCACCATGCTAGCTTACTGGGGAGATGAAACTCAAGCTCCTCCTCGTTAGCGTCTAGAAGGATAATGTTAAACTCTTGGGCCATAATGCTTAAGGTAGATCTGGATCGCCGGACCCGTGGCTGTAACCGAGAAATGTGATTTCCCTTCAATAACGGGGTGAAAAGGCTCTCAGGGTCTTGGGGCGCGCTGGCTTCGGCTTATGTGCGTCCCTCTTAACAGCTCCAGCGAATGATGGAAGGATTGTAAGACATTGCTATGCACCGACAATATTAGTAAGCCACACGTTTATTAGTGGACGCTCTGATTATGAATTGTCCACTGTATTATCAGCGATCCTGATGGTGACGCAGCCGCCTTCGCCCAAATTGCGCAATGTATAATACCTGCATCGGGGGCTCGTCCGATTAGCATTGGCGACGATGAAGCCAAATTATGCTTCTATGACAGTTGAGCAGGTTCGGATTGGGTATCCCGTGAAGTGGGCCCGCAGTTCGAGACTAGGGACGGGCCGTGCGGGGCTGGGGGTTTCCGTCGCTTCCTTTGCGCGAGTTGGTGAGCTGCACTAACGTGGAGGAACCTTAGCTGGAAGGTCACCGCAACAAGCAGGATTATACTAATCCACCAAAATACACACGAACATTATTTACTGAGGAAACTAAGTCAACGCCTTATGAGCTGATTCTAAGACGCATCTTCAAGACTTGTAGCTTATTATTAGTGGGTGCCAAGGCTCGAGTTAATGACTTGATGCAGTGCCAAATTCAGGGCTACAGTTTCTCTATGCTCACGGTGCCAGAGGTTTAATGTCAGCGCGTAGCCGCGAGATGGACGCCAGCCCAGGTCTGCGTCATGAAAGTGACATGACAAAACCGGCAGTCAGCAACATCTGGTGCCGGGGAGACAGCCTAAATAGATTGAAAAACAGCAAAAGATATCCACTGGCGCAGTGCCGCGGCAGAGTTGTGTCGAGCAACCCAAGTAAAAATATGGGCTTGGCTTTGCCACGATATCGGAGACTACGGATTTGTTCTTTCTGGATGTTGGTAAAGCTTATAAATCGGGAGGAGACGTCAGTAATACAATTCCTAGTAGGCTGTCTCGTTCGCACCTAAGATGCATCAAGAATATGTATGAGCATCGATAACAAAACAGCCAGATTTATCAATTGCTTCTTCCTAACGGCAAACGTTTTCGAATCATGCTGCACTGCTTTTCATCAAAATATACGCCATCAACGAGTGGATTTACAGTCACAAAAATCCTTCCTGGCCTCGCCGCAGTATCCATGTACTGTTCCTATGCGCTCAAACCTTTCTCCTGTTTTCCATATTTTCCCCCTTTTCCTCCCAATCACGTTAGTTTTTCCCTGCATAAATCGAGAAATAACTTCGACCATGTTGTATTATGCTAGTCATGGGGTGTCTAGGCATATTACTAATTGTCAACCACTTGCACCAAACGTCGGTAAGTATTGTGTCCATTCGTCTCGGCATAGACAGATCCAGGCATCTCCCGAACACTAGAGAACGAAACGCCCAGTAGCAGCGGGCGAGAAGCGCAGTTAAGGAGACTTGTCATTTATAAAACAACTCGATTACCACCGCGGGGAAGCAGCGGCCGTATGGGCCATTTGTCGGTTCTGGCCGCCTCGTTAAACTTCTTCGCTTGCGCTCCGTCGATGGCATCAACAAGACGAATGAATTTCTCATAAAATCTACAATACTCATCTACATTATATGGTTTCGTGATAGACTCTCAGCTTCGCCCTTCACGAATAATAATCTGGACATACTTGAAGACGTAATCAAAGATTTCTGTCTGCTGTCTCGCCTGCCTGGAAATTTCCGAATATTTTTTATATTCGCCAGTAGCAAGGGAATTCTCCACCATTTCATATGACTTTCTCACCCTAAAATTATCACGTCTTATTATCCAAGAGTATTCTCGCATTAGCCTTGGACAAATTCCCATGAAGATCGGAGTCCCAACTGGACCTTGTAGATTAAGTTAGGGTGATCGTAAGTAGGCCAACAAAAGGGATCGCCGTAGATGTTCTAGTAGCTATATGCCAGAGAAGCCTCTCTACTGGAGTGGGAAACTAACTCGAAATTCCAAGTAATAACGTGTATAGCGCCAAAAAAAAATCCGGAGCTTAGGGCTAGCAAATACACCGCCAGGTGAAAGTCACGATTGTTTATAGGGATATTATCATTGGGGATTATAGATGGTATATTGCCGGCTGGATTGTTGCGAAACGCTGTTTTCTTGCGTACAATCGCCCAAAGACCGTCGTAAGTCCTTTCAAAATCGTAAAGGAGAAGCTTCTTCATCACTAGAAGGCTTTCCTGTGGTTCCTGGTTGACTACAGTCGCTTGAGTAGCCCTTTTTCGTGATACATTGTCAGAAACTAACGTCTCTTTTCCGAGCTCGATGAGCATGTCAACTCTTTGGGCTTGTAGGAGTAAAGGCAGAATATAAACACGCCGTAAATAGCGAAGGATAATGTGACGGTTTCAAGGTGTGAAAAGTGTGCACCTTGAATACGTCGGGTAAAATAGCCACGAAAAGGTGTAAAATTTGCAAGCCGGCGAAGATCTCGGCCAACCAAACTTGCTTGCTTTGGTCTTGAATATTTTCTACTGTAATCTCCGGATGTACGGTGTTAAGGGCACTCGGCTAGTTGTTGGCCGGTAACGGAAACCACCCTTTGCTTCCAGGGTATAACATACAGCCCATATCAGCAAAGTAGAAGTGAACCAATGTCCGTTTTCTGCCTTTGCTCTTCACACGTTGGCTCCCCAGACCGTCTTTGTTTAAATGAAGACAGGATGGCAGTCGAGATCACCAAGGCCACTCAACAGGTTTTTGTTTCTCGTCCATGAGTCGGAGGGCTTTCCATGCCATGTAGAATTCACATATAGCGTGAACAATAATTATCTCAGGGAATGGTATACTGGACAGGCTAGCCACCTGGGCAGGATTAAGAAACATGCGTCGCTGGCGTGAGGAGCTGCTTGAGCTGCTTCCAGCAGCTCAAACCTTCTCCTCAGGTATAATAGACAGGTTCGTCTCTCGGGTAGGATCAAGAACCCCGAATAGCCACCATGTCGAAGAGGCTGGGCTGTTTTGAGCGGCGATGTGAGACAACACACGTGATATCATGCCGCGTCTTAAGACTCACACTCTTCCCTCTGATACAAACGGATTGAAAGCCCTTCAAGAGGCGGTCATATAGGGTCAGACGCATGTCGTCGAGAAATTTCTCGAAATGCAAGTGTTCCTCGATAATATTGACCAGGTGGATTGCTGCGGACGAACAGCGCTGCACTGGGCAGCTCTGGAATGTCGCGAGACGATATTAAAGCCGCTCATAAAACAGAAAAGCCGATGTCGAAAAACACCTACAACGGAGAAGAATCTGCGCTGCACACAGCCGGAGAAGGACACCACGGGGTGAAAAAGTTGTAGATCCTAATTCGCGCTTGGGTCGTGAAAGGGGGCCACGAGAAAGTCATTCGAATGCTCCTTGACAAGAATAACTTCCAGGCCGACGAAAAAGACGAAGAAGAAAAGGCGCACACTTCTATCTTATGCGGCCGAAAGCGGGCACGAGCCCTTGGTCAAGCTGCTAGTCGAAAATGACGCCAATATTGAGGCCCGGCATGGCATGTATTTGGTCAGACGCCGCCAACATGGGCTGCTATGAACGGGCATGAAGGCATTTTGCAGAAACTCCTTGACAAGGCAAAAGATATCAAGCCCAAAGGTAGTTTTGATAGAAGGGCGGTGCCAACTAGGGCTGCTCGAAACGGGCACGAGGGTATAGTCCGCATATTACTCACGGCGGGCGTTGTTACACGGAAATGGCTGGTTACACAAGGGCTACGGTCACGAGACCTAGGGCTCACTGACTTCTTGTATTTATAGCGACCTTTGGTCCCTCAAGGACTTGGAAAACCAAGGACCTTTGATACCAAAGACTGTTATTAGATGAATTGAGCTATTAGCTCCAAGCCCTCCTTGAGCCCTTGTCACAGGCGTAGATATCGAGGCCCGGGGTGACGATGTTGACACGCCGCTGCTGACAGCTGCTTTCGGCGGGCATACATCTATTGTCCGGGAATTGGTTGATAAGGGCGCAAATTTCGAGGCGAAAGTTGGGCCGGGGAAAAGGAAGACACTGCCAGATTTTGCTGCTGAGAAAGGGCGTGAGGCTATTATGGAACCGCGAGCCGAGCAGCCTGATAGTATCGGCGAAGACTAGGATATCAATGGCCGGACACCGCTATCCTTGGCTGCCTCGAGAGGGAATGAGGTTGTTGTTAAAATGCTGATTAAGCATGATGCAATCAGTGAGATCTAGGATGAAAGGGGGCCGCATACTGCTGATCCTAGCTGCGGTTGTAGATGAATTAGCTCGTTGACCTGTTACTTGAGCATGGTGCTAGTTTTAAGACTGTGAGGAACCGAGTAAAAGTAATATCTACGACTAATTTATAAGAGTCTGATCCAGTTGAGATGAAGAAGAAACATGGCAGTTAAATTCTGGGCGCTAGTTCAAGACCTAAGAAGGAGCCCAAGAGCCCGGAGAGCTCGACTATATTGATAATATTGAACGACAGCAATTTAGGACCTGTCCTTGTCTTTGGGGGAGGTCTCAGGAGGTGTTTCGGCGGCTGGCCTGCCTATCTGAAGCTGCTTGGTACTCCTGTTTTGGAACTTCGACTTTGAGCCCAGTTTGTATACAACGATGCCCGCGCCAGTGCCATGTCGGGGTCAAAAAGACACCACTTGACAAGTCCTCTGCAACATGGACCGTCACATGCCACCAAATCTTCTGCCTGTCACGCCGAGAAGAGCGCATAGTTTGCAGCTGATAACCAAGACATCCAACCCAAGGGACGGCGTTACTTTCATGTTTACACGCTAAATATTAAATAGAAAAATATTGAATTAAGCACCATTTAAAAGTACATATAACATAGCGCTCTGACTTAATGCCTTCATCAAGGACCTTGGCTTCCTTGACGCTCCTCCCGTCTTAATGCGGCAAGCCACTTGACGCGTCCGCCTTGGGTATGGCATATTGATACTTTGCCCAAGGACACCTTTGCAACATACGGAGCAGACACCGTTAAATCGTCACATGCCACCAAATCTCTTGCATGCCACTCCACAAGCGCACATAACGTACGTCCTAAGAAACAGGCCACCATCTGATACACACCTTTGGCTCAATCAGCCTAACCAAAATGCCGCAACCTCCCCATAATCGATACGATAGGGCTGACCAGCTCCCTCCCCAGTCATGGCTGTCAGAAAGCGACTCCTGGTCAGCCGCAATCCGGCGAGCTGGGTCTAGACTCCTGCACCCAGTCAATAGACCACTTCAGCCTCACGCTCTCAGCTGCGGAATTTATGCGCCCCAACGGGGAAATTGGGCAAAAACGCCTCGCGGGTCCAGGGGTCGCCCTTGTGGCGGTCAGGCATGGCTGCGAGGTTAATAGTTTAAATTGATGCTTGACTGCGCTTACATCGTGGGCTCGACGTGGAGTGCCGCATCGAGACCGGGGGTGCGGAAACCGTGATTTCCTGCCTTCTTTTTGCTCATCACGACCATGGATTCCTTCGCAAGAGCATTCCAGAAGGGCCTCGCCAAGACGGTCGCCGCCGGCCAGCAGCAGTTGCAGCAGCGACTGTCCAAGTACGACCAGCAGGATACGAGTGCGAACGCGGCTGGGAACACGTACGGGACAGGCCACCAGGCCCAGGCCCAGTATGCATACCACCAGGGCTCATATCAGGTAGCTATGAAGTCGGTTGCCCACTTGTCAAGCCTGTTCTGATACCATCCAGAAGCCGCCCGCGGCCCAGCAGACGTACCAGTCGACGTACTTCCCGCCGCCGCCGGGAACATCCCAATCTCAACATTACCAGAATAGCTCGTCGTATGGGCAGTATGCGCCGGCTGTAAATAGTTCAACTCTGTCGGCAGCACAGCCTTATAGTAGTCATCTGGGCACACCTGCTGCTCAGGCCGGATATCATGGATACGGGTATCAGCCTCCGCCGTTGCCTCCCCGGACCAGCCAGCAACCGCCGGTGAATGATGGCCGTCCGTCGGATCATGACAAGACTGCATCTTATAGGCCCCAGAATACAAATGCTGACGGGCATTTTTCTGCGGCGACTACGCAGCAAGCATATGGCACGCCTGATCAGCAAACCGCTCATAGTAAGCCTGCGCCTCCCGTCTCGTCCGCGACACGGTATCCTCCTCCGCCGCCGCCTCGAGTGAATCAACAACAGGAGAGTACTTACCCGCGTGCAGACTACGGTCAGGCTGCAATTTATAGACCCTCGGAGCACTCCGTCAATGTGAATCAGGGGCATTCTTCTGTCATACATGCCGAACCGGTGAATAACCCGAATCAGCACGGCACGACTTATGCTGTGTCTTCGCCTGGGGTTCAACAGCAGCAGAATGAGACCGTGTCCCATTCAGCGGTGAATGCTGCGACTTGGGCATCACTAGCGAACACGCATTCTCCGCCCGTGGCTGCAAATGTACCGTCTCTCCAGCAGTATCAACCCGTGGCCGAGACAAGATCGAGCGCTCCGGTTGTTCAAATGGACCAGAACGCATATGGGACTTCAGAGAATGCGCACTCGTATAATGCGCCAACGACAGCATTTATCAACACATACACTCCACTGGAGAATAAACAGGGCTCTCCTACGGCGTCGAACACGGCCCCGGCTCAGCAATATCAGCCTGTACTGTCACAAGAGCCAAGCCTTCCTGTCAACAACACGGGCTACAACGAATACACACGTCCAGTCACTACTCAAGCCCATCAGCCACAGCCTGAGGTCAAACAGTGCCCACCAGCAGCATCTGGCCCCAGCGCTCTGACACAAGGCCTGAACCCGGACAGCACGGCTCAACATGACCAACCTCAGAATGATGCGGCATCCATTGCTCAGCAGATGAACAATCTCAGCATAAACAGTAACCCGGCCGCCTCGCCAGAAAATCCCCGTGGTCCATTGCAAAGCCCGAAACCTAAACTCCCTCCAGTAGTAGCCAGCGGCTCACCAAGGGACATAGTTCGGCATTGCCCCGAAGATCGTGTCGTCGAGTACTCCCTCTACTGGTACCATCTCCCCGAAGTACCAGGATTCCTCATCTGCACCAAATGCCACGAGGAACACATCCGTGACACGCCGCTAGCGGGACAGTTCAAGCGAATCCTTGCCGAGGAAGGATCCTCGTCTACCTGTCGATTCTGGTACCCGCGCGTCAAAAACTACCTGTGGAAACAAGCCCTCCAGCGGAACGACCTAGATGACCTGCGCGCCTACGCGTCTCGTCGCCTCGCGATCCCCAACTGCAAGGGCAAAGAAGCGACGCTTGGAAAAGAAGGCATCAAGTACTACGGGATGCGGAACAACGAGATTGACGGGTTCGTCACTTGTGAAGCATGCTACCAAGACAAGATCATGGGCACCGCTTTCGAGTCCAGTTTCACACCACGCAGCGGCCAAGGCGCCGAGGACAAATGGATCTGCAACACAAATTCAGCGTACATGAATCGCGCTCTTGCGCGTTTCGCCGAGAGGAACGACTGGACCGGCTTCATCGAGGGGGCCACGCGCCGGCTACGGCTGCCAGTATGCGAGGGCGCCTCCAAGCCCGCCAGCGAAGGGCCCTGGTACGTTTTCCGCCGGAAGCTGGACAACTTCCACGCCTGTGCGACGTGCTTCATGGACAAGCTGGCGCTGACGGCGTTTGAGGGCGAGTTTGACGCCGTGAACCAGAACGTCGGGTTCGACGCGTGGATGGAGATGCTGGGACAGCGCTGGACGTGCGACTTCACCAACTCCTCTCTGCCTGTGCTTGTTGCTCTCGAGACGGCCCTCTACGACGACGACTTTGGCGGGTTCTGGGAGAACGCGCGGACCATTAGCAAGCTTGTGCCGTGCACGGCCAAGGGCATCATACGCGGCAACTGGTGGACGTTATCCGGGGGTTGTGACGATTTCGACATCTGCGAGGCGTGCTACGTGGGTGTTTTCAAGACCAAGGGGCTTGATAAGTTCCTGGAGCCGGCGACCCGGGACCCCGAAGCGACCATCGTGTGCGACTTTTGCCCCGCGAGCCCGCGGTTCCGGCAGTTTGCTAACAAGTACATCGAGGTGCTGGACCGCGGCGTCTTCAGCTACTACGCCGACTGCGTCCGCAAGTTCGCCGGCGTGGCCCCGTGCCCGGGCATTAACCACCGCGAGAACGCCAGGTGGTGGGGATACCCGGAGGCTCTGTTCTGCGAAGACTGCTACGTCGGCTTCGTCGCCGACACACGGCTGGCTCCGCACGTTCCTATCAGGGGGGAGCTCGACCAGCGCGCGCAGATATGCCAGGTGTGGTCGCCGCGCATGCGAGGCATGTGGACGGAGGCGTGTGCCGCGGGGGAGCCCGGCTCCAGCGCGTCCGACGAACAGGTTGCCGCGTTCAGGGCGTTTGGCGACAAGCGGCTGCAGGTGTACTTGCAGACGGTGCCGAGGATCAAGTTCATCCAGCAGATGAAGGAGATGAGGATGATGAACGCCATGCACCAGGGCCAGCTGAGCCTCATGTACTCCGGGATGAACAGCATGGCGGTGCTCTCGGGCACGACGGACGGCAATCTGCATGGGAACAGCTCGCTGGGGTGGTATGAGACGGAGAATGGGGCGACGGGCGCGCAGATGTTCAACAATATGCAGTCTGGGTTTGCGAATGCGAACAGGACAGATGAGTGGATGGAGGTTATGAGGTTGCAGACCTTGTGGTGTGAGGTGGAATGACGAATGACGATTTGATGTGCCGCCCCCCGTCTTGCACGAATCTGTGATGAATGGATTGGATACGGCTCGTTTTCGTAGTTGGCAGTTCGAATGGAACGAGGTCTCTTTGCTTCTGGGACGTATTTGCTGCGTGCCGTGTGAGATGGAGTCGTGTATGAGAATCCCAAGATTGAAGCTCAGGTACTCCGTATTCGACTGGCAAAAGTGTAGAGGGGAGTACAAATGACGAACCATCAGATGGAGCAAAGCTGCGTCCAATGACAGAAGTGCAGAGTTACCGTTTTGGCAGCGTCCAAGTGGCAGGCACCACGCAGAGTTACTTTCCGTTTTGTATCTCGGATGGCGGAACACGTCACATGCCCCGAAAGAACCACTATCAACCAATGTCAACAGCCTTTGATGAGATGGCTACACAAGCGGTTGGAGACTGCCCTTCCAGCATCCACGTCTGATGCCAGCATTGACATGGTGTTGCCACCAGTTCCACGCCAGCATACCACTGCGAAGCGTCACCCACGAATCGGTTAGTTCCTGTTAGCTAACAGCTGCTGCGGCTCCCGACGCCACCTCATAGCGTGGCGACAACCCCTCGCCGTCGTGCTTGCAAGCGTCAGTTCGCGGCCGAATTGGCACCTCACCTTGGCCTAGTTTTGTCTGGATGGGCCGATATGGCCGGCAGGTTTGGTAGCTGGATGAAAGTGGTGTGAGGGGGAGAGCTTGGCTTGGCTGGCAGCTCCTTGCAGACTGGAGGGGTGCCCGGAGGGTAAGGGGATCTGAGATATTCTGGCATCTCAGATCACCGACCACGGTTTCATCAAAGGGTTATGAGAACGTGTACGAGAGGGAACTGGGGGGTAGCGCTGCAGGCTCACCGATTTTAAAATACGTAATGAGCTTCCTTTCCTGACAACCATGCGTGGCCCGATACGTTGACAGTCGGCCCATGTCTGGAGAATCTGAGGGAAGTCTCGGCATCATGGACCGTGGACTTTACTTCTTTTGTGCGCCAATGCACTATTGCTACTCATGCGGAGTGCGGGCGGGAGCCTCAGGTCTTAGGTAGTGGCCGCCTTCTCATCATGTTCATGGGCAAAAGCTGGGGTAGTCCGTGGTCGCCCCCGCGCTGGCGATGCGAACTTGTTGGTCATCAGAATAGACCCATTGGTCGACGTGTCGAGTGTTGCAGGCACAGCGTCGAGTATGAGCCAAGGACCTGCCCGGTCTGTCGCTAGTAGATGATAAGACGGTCGGGTCCTGCGACATAATATGAGAGAGGGGGGGGGGGGGTTTTG